GTTAGTCTTCAGCTTGAATGGATTTATCACCAAGGTGTAGGATATCAATTGAAAAACCAAACGAAAATAATCAGTCGTGAAGGTATAGTTTTACATTCAGAATATGCATTTTTTCGCTCAAGCGTTTTAATCCGAAAATCCAAGACAAGAATTATGAAATGTATAACAAGTAGTCACGACGCATCTATATACCAACATAAAAACAACAGAAGAGGCCGCCATCAGAATGAAAATAAGCAGCGCCATCCAAAGGAAGTGTGTGGAGGACAAATTCTCGTAGAGCTCGAAAGTGGGGCTACGCTCAATGGTCTGAGCTTCAATTATTAGATCAGCACCGGTAGTCATCTAGGCTTAATAGAATTTGCCCATAATAAACCTCTTGATGGAAATGAAATCCTGAATTTCCTTCTTCACATAGGTCTTTCTCATCCAGTTTCGATCGCTTTCAGCTACAGACAGTTAGATCAGAAAAGCCCAAACGGGCACCACTACTATTATATCAAAAGCAGCCACAGGTTCCGTTGTGTCACAGAGCAGGCCAAGTCTCCCTCAATTCACACATTGGGATTATTAGTATTGTACATTTTTCTTATAATAGAGCATGAGACATTACAGGATGCATGACAAGTAAGACTAACTGGTTGAAAATCCTGTTTGGAGTATCAAAAAAACGTATGCAAGATCGAGAATGTAGCCTAATCTAAAGGAGAAACCATTTAGGTGGGCAATTGAATTAAGTCCGTTCAAGAACTCTAATGAGATTCGATATCGGACAGTTTCAAAACAGAAAATAAGGCTGTTTGATATTTACTGGTCAATTTAATTGCTAAGAAACTCAATCCTAGTTCTTATACGGCCTGGACTGACTAAGTTACTAATCAATGCTTGATAGGCTCGAATCTTATTCACATAGTGACAAGTACAGAGTTGTCTTATCTACAATATCAGTATAAGTTTGTATCACTAGATGTTTGGCTTGCTTCGAAACTAGCGAGATCGAGCTTGCAACCCACAGAATGAAGCCTTTTGATAGGTAAGGTATTGCGAATTTTAATAGCATATGTTCTTATACAAGAAAATAAGTAATATATGTTAAAAAAAAGGTTTGGACAAAATTCTAATAGCTGCTAATAAGAAGAAATATAAATTTAAAAAATGTGAGAAAATGTTGATTATATGCATACACCAGAAAGCGATTAGTGTGAAAATCTCCCTACCATAGTCCATCTGTATGAAATATAAAATCATTTATTTAGCTACTGATAGATGTGCCCATTATCGCTCCAGGATAAAGTATAAATAGTCTTTTGCCTTCACAATTTTTTTGACAGGATGCATTCTTATTTTTGAAGAAAACAAATCAAAATCAAATTTTAGAGAAATTCAATAGGCCGTTCTCAACACCATTAGGCCACGATGATTGTATCAAAGTTGATGTTATCTGCTAGTAACTAAAGGAATGCCTTACTGGATGAATTGTGCTCTTCGAGTTTGCGAGGTCTAGTTGACTGGGAACTGCGATCAAGATCATTCAAGGCTCGGGTCCTACTTTCCTCGTCTCCCGAATTTTCTTCTTCGTCTCCCGCTGAATGCTCAAGTTCTTCGAACTTGTCATGCCGCCAGCGACCCTCTATCGGTCGGTCAGCGCCAAAGCAGCCATCACCACTATCGAGAGCTCGATTTCTGTGCCGACCAGGTGACCGAGAACGGGATCGACTTAGGCGTACTCGTGGACCTCGTCTGTTGAACACGTCACGATCATAACCAAAACCTCGAAATTGGTTAGAAAAGAAAGAGATAAAAGCAAGGTTTGAGTTGGATAGAAAATATTGAGACAAAATAAAAATCGTCAATATATAGATAAAAAATGCTTATGAAAATCTTGACAGAAATATCGACATGAACTTGATAAGGCTGAATACAAACTAAAATCACTAACAGCTTATGATAACCGGGAAAGGAAAGAGCTTTTTATCTTAAAACTCAAATAAGGACTGTATCTTAGCTTGAACTTCACTTATCAGGTGCATTATTTAATACAACGTAGATCAACCTATTGTGAAGTAATATATTGATTTTTTGAGGAGGCGAATGAATATTGCGAAAATTTACCTCGATAAATTGATAGTGGCCAAAAATTAAGTCGAACAATTTTAGTTGTACTCATCCTTTTTTTATTAAGGTAATGAAAGACTAATCTTTGATTTTGCCCACGATTTTGAATAGAACTGATGTTCCCTACACAAAAGGCTTTCGACACACAGATA